GTCCTCTTCCCCCTCCACCACCACCGCCTAAGCTTATTCCAATACCAAATCCTCCACCCGTGCCTTCACCACCTGAAAGAAAATACGTTTTATCTAAATAGTCTCAGCCTATTTAGTTTCAATTTGTACTTTTAAAATTATTTGCTTATATGAAAGGATATTTGTCAATGGTACTTTAAAAATACTTATCTTTTTCTCCACTCTAACTGTATATATTCCTAATATTCTTTTTATTGCAATTTACTATTTTGGTACTAAACTGATACTTGATTCTATAAATATTTATACAGGAATGTAAACATATGTAAAAGTTCTGCGAAATCGGAATATGCAGTCAGAAAGATAAACTGAATTTTTAAGTACATATGTATATGTTTCTGGTATGATCCTTAAGTATGTACTTGTGTGTACCATTTTCTTTTTGAAAGGATTCTTAAGCACCCTACTATCCTTAATTTTCGTCTGTATTTCAAGTTCCATTTTTGAAATATCGCAGTATTATAAAGAGTCGTTTTAGCAAAATATTATAGTTTTGTTTTTTTTGTTTACTCATTACCAGAATAGTTAACCACAAATGTTTCTTGCAGCGTGATTATTACACATTGTATACCATAATATTTTTAATTCCTAACCTTCTTACCAGTTTCATTCTTTCTTATGGCGAATTCTGAAATAGTGATACAGAGTTCGGCAGTCAATACGGAATTTAATAAATTATGGTTATTTTAGAATTTTCTTTTTAATATCATGTTTATTACCTCCTTGTCCTCTTCCCCCTCCACCACCACTGCCTGAGCTTATTCCAACACCAAATCCTCCACCCGTGCCTTCATCACCTGAAAGATAATACGTTTTATCTAAATAGTCTCAGCCTATTTAGTTTCAATTTGTACTTTTAAAATTATTATTTGCTTACATGAAAGGATATTTGTCAATGGTACTTTAAAAATATTTATCTTTTTCTCCACTCTAACTGTATATATTCCTAATATTCTTTTTATTGCAATTTACTATTTTGGTACTAAACTGATACTTGATTCTATAAATATTTATACAGGAATGTAAACATATGTAAAAGTTCTGCGAAATCGGAATATGCAGTCAGAAAGATAAACTGAATTTTTAAGTACATATGTATATGTTTCTGGTATGATCCTTAAGTATGTACTTGTGTTACCATTTTCTTTTTGAAAGGATTCTTAAGGACCCTACGATCCTTAATTTTCGTCTGTATTTCAAGTTCCTTTTTTGAAATATCGCAGTATTATAAAGTGTCGTTTTAGCAAAATTTTATAGTTTTGTTTTTTTTTTTTTTGTTTACTCATTACCAGAATAGTTAACCACAAATGTTTCTTGCAGTGTGATTATTACACATGGTATACCATAATATTTTTAATTCCTAACCTTCTTACCAGTTTCATTCTTTCTTATGGCGAGTTCTGAAATAGTGATACAGAGTTCGGCAGTCAATACGGAATTTAGTAAATTATGGTTATTTTAGAATTTCCTTTTTAATATCATGTTTATTACCTCCTTGTCCTCTTCCCCCTCCACCACCACCGCCTGAGCTTATTCCAACACCAAATCCTCCATCCCTGCCTTCATCACCTGAAAGATAATACGTTTTATCTAAATAGTCTCAGCCTATTTAGTTTCAATTTGTACTTTTAAAATTATTATTTGCTTATATGAAAGGATATTTGTCAATGGTACTTTAAAAATATTTATCTTTTTCTCCACTCTAACTGTATATATTCCTAATATTCTTTTTATTGCAATTTACTATTTTGGTACTAAACTGATACTTGATTCTATAAATATTTATACAGGAATGTAAACATATGTAAAAGTTCTGCGAAATCGGAATATGCAGTCAGAAAGATAAACTGAATTTTTAAGTACATATGTATATGTTTCTGGTATGATCCTTAAGTATGTACTTGTGTGTACCATTTTCTTTTTGAAAGGATTCTTAAGCACCCTACTATCCTTAATTTTCGTCTGTATTTCAAGTTCCATTTTTGAAATATCGCAGTATTATAAAGAGTCGTTTTAGCAAAATATTATAGTTTTGTTTTTTTTGTTTACTCATTACCGGAATAGTTAACCACAAATGTTTCTTGCAGCGTGATTATTACACATTGTATACCATAATATTTTTAATTCCTAACCTTCTTACCAGTTTCATTCTTTCTTATGGCGAGTTCTGAAATAGTGATACAGAGTTCGGCAGTCAATACGGAATTTAGTAAATTATGGTTATTTTAGAATTTCCTTTTTAATATCATGTTTATTACCTCCTTGTCCTCTTCCCCCTCCACCACCACCGCCTGAACTTATTCCAACACCAAATCCTCCATCCCTGCCTTCATCACCTGAAAGATAATACGTTTTATCTAAATAGTCTCAGCCTATTTAGTTTCAATTTGTACTTTTAAAATTATTATTTGCTTATATGAAAGGATATTTGTCAATGGTACTTTAAAAATATTTATCTTTTTCTCCACTCTAACTGTATATATTCCTAATATTCTTTTTATTGCAATTTACTATTTTGGTACTAAACTGATACTTGATTCTATAAATATTTATACAGGAATGTAAACATATGTAAAAGTTCTGCGAAATCGGAATATGCAGTCAGAAAGATAAACTGAATTTTTAAGTACATATGTATATGTTTCTGGTATGATCCTTAAGTATGTACTTGTGTGTACCATTTTCTTTTTGAAAGGATTCTTAAGCACCCTACTATCCTTAATTTTCGTCTGTATTTCAAGTTCCATTTTTGAAATATCGCAGTATTATAAAGAGTCGTTTTAGCAAAATATTATAGTTTTGTTTTTTTTGTTTACTCATTACCGGAATAGTTAACCACAAATGTTTCTTGCAGCGTGATTATTACACATTGTATACCATAATATTTTTAATTCATAACCTTCTTACCAGTTTCATTCTTTCTTATGGCGAGTTCTGAAATAGTGATACAGAGTTCGGCAGTCAATACGGAATTTAGTAAATTATGGTTATTTTAGAATTTCCTTTTTAATATCATGTTTATTACCTCCTTGTCCTCTTCCCCCTCCACCACCACCGCCTGAACTTATTCCAACACCAAATCCTCCATCCCTGCCTTCATCACCTGAAAGATAATACGTTTTATCTAAATAGTCTCAGCCTATTTAGTTTCAATTTGTACTTTTAAAATTATTATTTGCTTATATGAAAGGATATTTGTCAATGGTACTTTAAAAATATTTATCTTTTTCTCCACTCTAACTGTATATATTCCTAATATTCTTTTTATTGCAATTTACTATTTTGGTACTAAACTGATACTTGATTCTATAAATATTATATTATAATAATATTTCTTTTGAAAGCTCTTACAATTCTCTTTACAACAGACTTTAAATTTTATAATTCCGCCCAATACAAAAATTTACATTTTAAAATTTAAATTATGTTTAGTTGCTTACTTACAAGAATAAAGATTTTGTTCGAAACGTTCGCGTACATACCGAAGTATTTCTGGACGGCATTCGTCGACGATTCTTTGACGCAAATCTTCCAGCGACGCTGGCTGTGTTTTATATATTTTATTTTTTAGGTATCCCCACAAAAAGAAATCAAGGGGCGATAAATCCGGTGATAGTGGAGGCCACTCAATGCTGCCTCTTCTCCCAATCCAATTCCGCAGAAAACGCTGGCTCAAATACTGACGGACAATTAACGCATAATGCGGAGGGGCACCGTCCAGTTGAAAAATCAAATGATCTTCCAGTAATTGCAAATACATTTGGCCAGTCAAATTACCATGTAGAAAAAAAGGACCCACCAGCCGGTTACCGAAAATTCCAGCCCATACATTTAATTTTTCCGGTTGCTGTGTATGCATCTCGTGAAAAACTCTTGAGTTTGAATCGGACCAAAAGCGGCAATTGTGACGATTTACCATCCCGTTCCAGAAAAAACTGCATTCATCAGAAAAACAGATGTTAAAAAGGAACTGTGGATCGTTCCCTGCGCGCTCACTCATTTTTTCGCAAAATTGCAAACGACGGTCATAATCATCCTCATGAAGTTCCTGGACTAAATTTTGTATAAGTGGAATTTATTCTTCTTCCAAATGGTTTGTATGCTAGTTGGATTGATCCCAAACACAGATGCCAGCTGCCTCGTACTTAATGTAGGATCAAGATGAACTTGTCCCAAAACTGCTACTTCACTAGCTTCATTAACTATAGGTTTTCAATTTCTCGTTTTTTATTGGTAACGTTGCCTGTCTCTTGAAATTTTTTACCAACTCTAGAACATACTTCCTCCTGACATGTCGATCTTGATGTTGTTCATTGAATAGCTGAGCTGTTCTATTCACACATTTATTGTTCATAAAGTATAGCGAAATGATATCTACCCTTTCCGCAATGGAATAAATCATAGTGTTTCATTTTCAAAAACAATTAAATAAACTACCAACCAACGCTTCCAAATAATACTAGAAAATAATTTGGAATCCACTAATTTTACGTTCATTGTGTGTGTATAGCATTCATTTCTGTTTTTTACAATTGTGTTTTTTT